CCCTCTGTCTACCTGCTCCCTCTCCACTTACCGCGCATTCCAGTTTTTTCGTAAGCCGCAACTTTTTCTGTCTCTGTCCTCTGTCTCTCTCTCTCTTCTCTAGTCTCGTCTCTGTTCTTTCTCTCTTCCTCCTCCCTCGCTCCCTCTTCCTCCTCTCCTCTCTCCCTTGCTCCCTTGAACCCTCTCCCTCCCTCCCTCCCTCCTTCCCTCCCCCTCTCGCCTCCCTCTCCCCCCACTCTCCCTCACCTCCCCCTCTCTCCACTTTTTACGCATTCAGTTTTTCGTAAGCGCCATTCTCCTCTGTCCTGCTCTCTCGCCTTCCCTCCTTCCGCGCTCCCTCTCCCTCCCCCTTTCATGCGCTCTCACCTCCCTCCCTCTCCTCTTTTTCCTTCCCATCCCTCCCTCTCTCTCCCCCTCCCTCCCCCTCCCTCTCCCTCTCCCACTCAACCGCGCATCAGTTTCTTTCGAACCACTCTCTCTGTCTCTGTCTCTCTCTCTCTCCCTCTCTCCCCCTCCCTCTCCCTCCTTTCCCTCCTCTTCCTCTGTCTCTCTCTCTCTCCCTCTCTCCCCTCCCCCCTACTCCCTCCCTCCTTCTCCATCCCTCCTTCCCTCCCTCTTCCTCTCCTCTTTCCCTCCCCCTCACCCCCTCCCCCTCTCCCCCTCCCTCCTCCCTTCCGCTCCTCCTTCTCTCCCTCTCCCTCTTCCCTTCTCCCTCTCCCACTCACCGCATTCAGTTTCTCGTACGCCCACTCTCTCTGTCTCTCTCTCTCTCTCCCTTCCCTCCCCCTCCCTCTCTCCCTCTCTCCCTCCTCTCCCCTCCTTCCCCTCCCTCCCTCCCTCTCCCTCCTCTCCCCCCTCCTTCTCCCTCCCCCTCTTCCCTCCCTCTCCCTCCCCCTCTCCCACTACCGCATTCAGTTTCTCGTACGCCCACTCATCAAGCTCTGGTCTTTGGTACAGCATGGAGTGGACGTCCGCGAAGCCAACCCAGTTCCCGCGGAGGTCATAGGTCATCAGGTGAATGGCGTCTAACAGGCTGGGCGGAGAGGAAAATGAAGCCTTTGGGGGTATGATAAGATTTGGGGTCTTGTGTAGGTGTGGTGGGGTTATTTAGTCTTTTTTTTTAATTTCTATTTTTATTCATGTTGTATTCTATTATTTCATTTTTTATTTTCTTATTTCAATTTTCATTTTATTTACTTATTTTATATATATATATATTTTTTTTTTTTTTTTCTTTGTGGTATTTGAAAAATAGGGAAGGTTTTTTGTCTGTTATATGGTGTATATTGTCTAAGCAAAGTTATAGAGGAGTTAAGTAGGTTTTCTCGGATTAATCATCTTCATCGGGGATAAAATTCGTATGAAAAATTGCCAGGTATCTTTTTAGGGCATTTCATATTGATTTTTTTTTCTGTAAATATCATTTTTTTACATTTCATATCATCATTCCAAACATTTTTTTATTATGAGGCCATGTCATTTTGAATCAGTCTGTAAATACCATTCCTTACGTATCATATCATTATTCCGAACACTTTCTCGCGTCATACCTGCAGAGTTCGGGCACGTGGTAGCCTTCCTGCAGCCTGAACTTGGCCACGGGGACGGCGCAGGTCAGCTCCCAGCCTAAACCCACGGAATCGAACGCGGATCTTAGCTCTTCCACCTGCAATTTTGTTGTTATTTTGGTATTTTCGAACTTGGTAATAATTATTTTTTAAGGTATTGAATCCTGATGAAAAAAACATTTGATTACGTTTATAATCAAGATATTGGGCTAAGGATATTCACTGTTAGAAGATTAACGCTTTGGGATTTTCGAACTGAATTATATTTCGCTATTTTAGAGATATTTAAATCATTGGGATTATCGAACCTGTTTTATCCATTCTTTTAAAGATATTTACCTTTTTTAAATCATCATATTGAGGGAAAAAAATACAGATTCGTCTGTAAAATCATGGGTGGGTCTGTGATCATAGACATTTATTTATTATAATGAATTTACCCAATTCATCGGTACTTATTTACCAGCGTCACGGGCCTTCTTTAATTATCAGCACTTATTTACCAGCTTCATAGGCCATTATTTACCAAATTCATCGGTACCTATTTGCCAGCTTCATGAATCATTATATACCAGATTTATTGGTACTTATTTACCTGCTTCATGAGTCATTATTTACCAAATTTACCGGTACTTATTTACCCGCTTCCTAGGCCATTATTTATCAAATTCATCAGTACTTATTTACCAGCTTCTCGAACCAATATCTACCAAATTTCTGGTACTTTTTCACCCGCTTCCTGGGCCATTATTTACCAAATGCATCGGTACTTATTTACCAGCTTCCCGGGCCATTATTTACCAAATTTACCGGTATTTATTTACCAGTATCATGGGCCATTATTTACCAAATTTACCGGTATTTATTTACCAGTATCATGGGCTATTATTTACCAAATTTACCGGTATTTATTTACCAGTTTCATGGGTCATCATTTACCAAATTCATCAGTACTTGTTTACCTGCATCATGAGCCTAATTTACCGGTATTTATTTACCAGCTTCCTGAGCCGCTATTCACCAAATTTCTGGTACTTATTCACCCGCTTCCTAGGCCAATATTCACCAAATTCACCGGTACTTATTTACCAGCTTCAAGAAGTTGTCCTTGTCGGCGAAGGTGCCGCCTCGGTCCATCGCCCCGGGGTACTCCCAGTCCAGGTCGAAGCCGTCGAAGCCGTAGTCGGTGAGCAGCTCTGGGGAGGGAAGGAGTGTGGAAATTATGTCTTTTATGGATCGTTATTATGTCTTTAAGGGTCGTTTATTGTATGGTAATGTAGATATAAAAGTGGATATGATATTTAAATTATGTCTTTTATGGGTCGTTTGTTGTATGGTAATGTAGATATAGAAGTGGGTATGATGTTGAAATAAGATAGGTTTGTATAGTAGTAAATGATAATGTTGATGTGAGAGTGAATATGATATTGAAATAAGATGTTTTGATAAAGTATATATGGTGAATAGTAAATGCGTAAATAGTAAACAAACAAAATCATAAGATGGGAAGAAAACGTTGATCTGTTTTGTTTTTTTCTTTCCTTCTTTTACGAAGACACAATAAAAAATCAAAACGACCTAAATGAGATTTTTGTAAAATCCAAAAAAGCTCCAAAAAGCCTTCGAAAAAATATCACCAAAACAAAAGGAAAAAAAAATGAATAAATAGAAACTCGAAAAAAAAAACAATGTAATAATCATAAAAATAAAGAAACAAATTAAAAGACACATATCAAAAATAAATAAATAAATAAATAAAAATATAATAATAATAATAAACATACATCAAAAATAGTTAAATAAAAATAAAATAATAATAAGAATAACAAACTAATCATCCATAAACAACCAGACCAACCAACACTCACGCACAACGCTCCTGACGAAGGTGTCCCTCCGTTCCTTCATGCTGACCATCTGCGAGTACTTCTTGCCCCCCTCGGCCCAGCCCCCGACGGCGATGTGGGTCTTCATGTCGGGGAACTTCTCCTTCAGGGCCACGAACCGCCGGTAGGACCCTTGGGTTATGTCTATCTGAAGGGCGAGATTGGGAAATCACGGTGAGGGGGTAGGGAATTGGTATGTCTCGGTAGGTGTTTGTGAAGATGTTGTGTTGTATGGGTGTTTGTTTATTTATTTATTCATTTATTTAATGTTTCATCTCTTTTTTCATGCATATATATCTATGTATCTACCTATCCATCTATCATTTATCAACGTTTCGCCTGTTTCATATTATCATCTATATCTATCCCTATCCATCTATTTATCTATTTATCCATCTAGTCATCCACCCATCCACCTATCCATCTATTTACCTACCTCTTACATATCCTTTTGTCTATCTACCTATATAGCTCTCCATCTGTCTATCTATCTATCTATCAACTGGTCTCTCTATTTCAGCCTTCCTTAGCCAGCAGCCCTGGGGTTTCTGAAATCAGTTCCGGGGGGGGGGGGCTTGGATGTGCTGAATACATGGGGGTGAAATAGCCAGCTGATTACCTACCTGTGTTTGTTTCAGTTTGCCCCTCCTGTTTCCTTTTCATTTTTTATTACATCTATTATCAGCAATGACGTCCTCTCTCTCTCTCTCTCTCTCTCTCTCTCTCTCTCTCTCTCTCTCTCTCTCTCTCTCTCTCTCTCTCTCTCTCTCTCTATTTTATTTATTTATCTATTTGAGGGATTAAGAAAAATAGATGGTCGAGCAGCACCTTGCTTCTCTTTCCTCTATCAGTCTATTAAGCAGATAATTACTAGTAAGGGGCTGCTACCCTGCCTAGACCCGACTACAGGGTCGCTAGAGCAGGCAAGGGTAAAGATATATTTCATAATAATCTTAGAAAGATAAAGAAAAAAAACATGCATTACCTCAGGGGTCTAGCACCATAGAAGGAGTATCTATCTATCTATCTATTTGTATATCACTCCATCTCTCTATCTATCTACCTATCCATCAATCTAAGAAGGACAAAAACACCGATGGAGAGTCCGTAGAAGGAGTATCTATCTATCGATCTACCTATTTATCTATCTGTTCATCTCTCTAAGTATCCTAAGTATCTGTGAATCCCAGAAGGATATAAAAAAAAATAAACATTACCTCGGGATCGATGAAAGTTACGTCCATTGATCACGAGGTAATGTCAGAAAGAGATCTATCTACCTCTGTCAGGGATTGGTTTCCCCTGACTTTGGGTGGCTCTGGAGACACCGTTCTACTGTCTTTATTAGTATGTTGCTGATAGCGTGGCGTGGCATCGTCTCGTGCTTGCGCAAGTCCCGGGCAAGGGGGGCACCCTATCTATTTATCCATCTATCTATCTGATCTCAAACGGAAAAAAATGCCTTACCTCTGGTCGATGACCATGACCTCCCACGTGACGTTGGAGAGGCCGCAAAAGCATCTATCTCTCCATCTCTCTCTCTATC